GTTGATAATAAACCAAGATTTTGGCATAAATCATTTGATTGTGATGGTCGTTTACAACTTTATGTGTCTAATGAAGGGTTAGCAATTCCATATGTTTCTCCATTATTTACTGAAAGTTTGGGTGGTCTACCACCAATTTTAGTGGTAAATACTTCTTTTTAAAAAATTTTTAAATGCTTACATGATAAATCTTGTGATGATAAAAAATAATTATTCATTATATAGCAAGTAGGTGATGTAGAAATATTAAGAGATGAGAATATTTATTTGGCTTATAAGGCTGCTAATCCAGAAAAATACAATATGCCAAATTACAATGCTGAAAAGTTTGAAAGGTCACCTTATAAAACACCTACAAAAGTTGTTCTTGAAGTTTATGAAGAAATGCCTCATGGCTTCCAGGTAATTTTCACAAATTTTAATTAATTATGCAAAATAATAATAATAATAATATTTTCAAAATAGATACTTTGGAACATCCATCCATCACAAAAGATAGCTGTGAAACGAATGAATGAATTTATTGAACAATTATTATCAGGTGAAGAAGGGGAGAAAGAATTAAAAGTCTTACGTGTAACAGGTAAAGGTGAAACCATTGAAGAGTTAAAAGAGGAGCATTACAAGGTACTTGAATGTGAAAATATTGGTGTTGCTTCTATTGGAAAGCTTCATTGTTATAGACCTGTCAATAACAATCAATGATAACAACGTATGATGTTTTTTTGAGATTCCATGTTATTTAATTATTTATGTTAACATTATATAAGTATATGTCAAAACTTCCATTATTTGAAATTTCATTATTAGTAATTGTTGTTTATTTATTGTCTTAATCAACTGTTAATTTAATTAAATTAATAATTATTTTTTATTATTAAACACATGAGAGTGAAACCCATCATATATGCAAAAATTAAATTAGTTTCACATAGAAATTTAGTTATAAATATGTGTATTGCTTTCTTTTCATTTTATTATTTTTACTATGATGCAATTTCAAAGCAATTGTTTTTGAAAAAAATCAAATTTTATTATATAAAGTGGGCCAAGTTTCTAAGTTAAAAATGTTCTTTGCAAAAAGTTGCACATTGAGAGTAGTCTTATTATTGGACTAGGTTGTAGTTTTTCTATTGAAAAGACCCATTAATTAATAAATTTCTATTACTAAAAAAATTTGACCAGAGTTCTTTAAATATATGCTTTTAGAGAACGAATGAGCAATATTTGAAGAAAATTTGCATCACTTTTCTAAGTAGTGTTTTTTCGATTTTTACAATACTCTTTTTAAAAGATGATATCAACTATGATGATCATTATATACCAATAAAAATAACAATGACATTGCCGTTTATTAAAGAATGAAGGTCATTCAAGTCAAAATTGTACAAGTAATTATACTGTACATGTAATTAATTGAAATTATTTGTTTTGGTCCTTCATTGAATTGTATAACAGCATATATACTAGAATATATCCAATTTTTGTCAGTATTATTTAAATATTCTTCCAATCCATCATGTAAGCCAACAATAACATCAGCTTTAGAAGTCCATAATGCTAGAATTGGTGGCATGCCGATTTCATTAGTTAAAGGACAATAGCTTCTTTGGATGTGATGATAGTTGGGCATTTACAGTCATAAGCAATTTTCTATACAGTCTACTCTCTCTATAACGACCACTAAGTAAAATTTCTCTATAACGAACTTCCCTTTTGTCCCCGTTTCAATTTTTTATAATTAAATTCTCTCTCTATAACGACCATCTTAATAAACTCTCTCTATAACGACCAAAAGCAGAGAAATTACATATAGGGACGGAGAGTTCGTTATAGAGAGAGTGAACTGTAGTTTGAATATAATTAAAGATGAATTTTTCAAATCATTAAATAAACCAAGAGAATTTCTTTAATTTGTGAGAACACGGTGATGTCCAATACTAATTGATTCAATTATCCAGGTTTGTTTTTTCAAATAATCCTCCCATCTATTTGACAATTCTGTTAAAGATTGATTATTTTTTCCAATTTTTGTTGAATGCAGTGAGAAAAAATGGTCATCTTTAATAACCATTTGAAATCTAATCTGACTGACATAAACCATGGAATTTTTTTTGCATGAAAATGAATTTCAGAGACATGACCTTATTGAGCTGACAAATCAGCAAACATCGAGCTTCCATATAATTCAGACCACTATATTACCTAAATCAAAATCAATTCTAACATTTTGGTAATTTGAATTTTATAATCGTTAGCCAAAATATTATTTTCAAAATAACTTTAAAATATCGTCATGAATAAGATTTGTAAGTAGTGATAGATGAGTAAATGGGGTTACCCCATGAGCTTAATTGAGCTAATAGAATTTGATTATCATCATAGTTAACAATTAATAATTTTTTTAAAATAAAAATCACCAAATTTCGTTCTGTTTTTGAGACCTAACATTTTTGTAAATGGTGGCTATAGACTCGCGGAAAAATTTAAAAAAAAATTGGGCGAGAGCTTTATTAAATGGTCATATGTATAACTTTCTAGAATTATACAATATGTGCATTTTTAATTGCTTTACAAGCTAAGGATGCCTTTTTCGATTAATGCATAATATATTACTCTAATAAATCAATAGTTCAAATTATCATAATTTTTTTATAATATGGAGTTATATATTTTTCTATAATCTGAAAGAGCCATTTATGTGAATAATATTATATAAATTTATAAATAAATTTCTTTGCCAATTCTATCAATTGTAACAGAGGTATTCATTCATACATTATGATTATTATTTAAGTTCCTTTTTAATGATATATTAATAAAAGATATCTTAACATATAAGTTATTTTGCGAAAAGAAAATACAGTTTATTCTCTCTATAATGGATCTTGCTCTATATGTATAACGGACTGAGAATTTATGTTCCATATAGTTCACCTCTCTATAACGAACCTTCCGCCCTATATGCAACTTTCCTGCCTTTTTTATTATATAGAGTGCTTACTAAAAATGTTCGTTATAGGGAGAGAAATTGGTAAAAAACGTAAATTTTCTATTTAATATTAAAATAAGCAAATAATAATCATATTATTAAATACCAAAAGAAAATTACATGTTTTTAATTCTTTGATAATGAGTTCTCAAGGTAAGTGGTATTATTCGTATGTAATTTGGAGCATCAAAAAACATTCTAATTTAAAAATAAAGTTTTTTGAAGGCAACTAGATGAGTTGAGGAATAGTAGTAGAAGTCAATAACAAGATAACAACATATCTCCATCTACTCTACATATTAATACCTATTCTTCATAGAAGTTATATCAAATTTTCTTTTTACTTTGAACCAAAACGTGGGAGCTTCCTGTAATTAATATAATTAATACATTATTGAGAATTAAAACATGAATTATCTGAGTCATATAATAAACGATTGGAAATGGATGAAATTCAAGATGAGTTTGAGTCACCTATAGATGAACTATTACAAGAAGAAGAATCAAATCAAGTTGATACAGTACCAATTTATGAAGAAATAAATCAACAATTAAATAGAATACTTATAGGTACTACAAATATTATTATATAAACTCTATGTTGTATAATTATTGAATATATCAAATATATAATTAGATTTCAGT